AATATCACAAGCTCAGAGGTTAGGGATCTGAGCTGGCGCAGCCGTAGATCCTTGGTTCGATTTTAGTTCTCAACCATAGGGAGGAGAGAGCTAAAAAAAAAGTAATTTGGTTCTGCACTTAAATTTGGCTAATATCCCATCTCTGAGAATGAATATCGGTAAAGTCACGTACATAGAAAACTAAAACTGAAAGCAAAAATCCCACGACGTTTCGACCGCAACACAAGCGGTCTTAAACAGGCGGAGAAGACCGCTTGTGTTGCGATCGAAACGTCGTGGGTTTTTTGCTTTCATTTTTGATTTCTAGTTTTCAATCTACGTGACTTTACCGAAAGAACCAAGAATATGAATTCCTGCAGTCACGAAAGTTTTAAGTCAAAAATGTGTATCGGTTTTATTGTCATGAGACCAACATTTATCTCGGTGGCAGAACGGGTGGGCAAGTGCTGCCCCTCCACCATGAGGGGCAGAGTGCCACTTGGGCCGTTCTCTATCAACGAGCTGGGTTGCCCTTCGAGGAATCCGAATAGATGACATGACACTTATAGCACAGTGAGGAACACATTGTGGAGGAGATATATACAAGTGCAAGATCCCAGATAAGTAAATATACTCCAACTCAAACTATGCAAATCCCATGTCAAATAAAATGTGTAATATAAGACAATGCTGCTTAATACTGTAACATTCCTGAAAAGACAGCTACTTTGGTATTGCATGAAAATAATTTAACTAAAATGTTGAGTCTTGTGAAATTCCTTTTACAAAAGGTGGCGTGAATCGTATCGATCGTCCGTGCATGAAAACTTAACATTTCAGCTGTTTTGTCTGAACATGACTTCACACCTTCATTTCTAATTCATATTCCATGACGAATGACAAAGCAAAAACTGAGATACAAGCAGAGGTCGCAAACGGGTTTGTTTCCTTACCCGTACCCGTACCCGGCCGCACCAGGGTCGCAAACGGGTATCCGTACACGTACCCGGCCGGGTACGGGTAGCCGGGAATCAGGTAGGCTATGGGTATCGGGTACCCGATTGCGACCTCTGGATACAAGCAAAGTTATGCAAGCAGCACACCAAAGGACATAACCAAGCTGCGGGCTGAGGGCACTCTGTGCCAGGACCTGGACTTCGACACCCATAGGCTTAGCAGGCGGGCCTGGCGTGTAATTCCAGACCTACAGTAAGCTTCAGCATCCAACTTCCCAGCTGTGGCTAATGCAATGGGATTATTTGGACAGTTTCAGTTATATTGCCCGAATACTCTTGCATTGCATGCCTTATAAACTATGACACCCTTATGAAATGGATACTCTTGATTTCAAACGAATTTCAAACTAAATTATCTGGGATTCTCTAAAGAGCCTGAGAATTGGTTGGTCTTACGTACGTATCATTTGTACAACTATATGACAAATTGGGAAACAGGTGCAATAGAAAAAGAATACCTAAATGTACGGCATATTCTCGACATCAGCAGATACTGGGCACCACCAGTGATGTCACCATTGTGAGTGGTCACGCGTTCATGCGTGCTGTTGGCATGCATTCACACTCAAGTTACGTGCCTGCGAGTACGTGAGCTGGAGTGTGCACAACGTGTAATGAATTAAATGTGCACCCATTTCCTGAAGGAGTCAATATATGTGCATATGCAGGTGGGTGATGCAAATGTGCCACAATGTGGTCCTTTGTGTGTGTAGGTGTACATGCAGAGTTGACTTGAAGTAGCTGATGCCTTGCGCTTTGATTCCCGTCACCCAGAATTAAATTCCTGACAACTCACACACCACCATCAAATAATGGCAGCACTCGTACTTGGCTCTCCAAGTACTCATTTTCGACTGGCACATGTGAGCCAAGCTAGCGCGAGACCCAAACGGCACTCGTGTTTTTTGTACTGGGCTATGTAACGAGTGAAAACCCTTATCCAAACTTTGATATGATGACCTCACAATATATTTGAATGTTGCTCTGGGCTAAGCAGGGGTGGGGCCAATGACACATTCATTGCACACATTTCGGTATATGGCGAGCGTCAGTGCTCGTCATCTACACGTGACATCAGCAGCACGGCTCAGCTTCTGTAGTGGAAAATCAACCTGGCACCTGCACCATGCCAAGCTGGCTTGGCATGGCCCTGGCGCAGATAGGTTGCACAGTGGAGAAGAGCTACTACCCAGGTAGGTTTAACCTGAAGTGCTTACCTGGTGCGGGTGTATAGTCGCCAGACATAAAAAGGCAGCCGATGCCTCTGCTCGCACATCTCGAGCCGAATGGCTCACAGGGCTATACCAAATAAACTGAAACTGAAAACTGAAAAAAAAACCTGCTCTTAGCAATTAATCTCAAGCCTCTGTCGCCCCGTCAGCACCGCGGCTCGGAGACGCGTAAGAGTTCGCCATCGGTCGGCAATCTCACCCACGCTGGGAATGCGTCGACGTGTGCACAGATCACGCGCCTATGGCGTGTACCGCTCCTTGCTCAATAAATGTCGGGATCAGAGGCCCTGACACGCAACAGCAGCCCGCGGGTTGAGCGACGGGGCCGTGCCACGTATCCGTGCCGCTCGCTCGCATTCCGAGTCATTGCAGCTCGGAGCTTCAATGAGGGCCAGCAGCCACGGCTTCCTGTGCTGCATGCCAGAAGTCATGCCGTTTTGTTTACCGTGCTATCAGGTTTGTGAGAGAGGACAGCTGTGCATGCGGACTAAATTAGATCCTGAATCAGCACGGCCAGGCCTGGTTCCCGTAAGTGCCACGAGTGGCCAGAATGTCCTTATTATATTGCAGACTCCATTGGAAATAGAACTAAATTTGTCACCATATTGTTTATTACTGTACTACTATGCCAATAATACGTATAGTATGAAGTGATAACGAAGCACCAAACGACGCTTTTGGTTCGCAGTATTCGAGGTGTGTGTGTTAAGTGCACACTGTTGTTCTATTTTTATATATAATACAGTAATCCGTTTTTTTGTTGATATTTGTACAGTGCTTGACATATATATGGAAGCAGAATAACGAAAACACAAGAGGTCAAACAACCACAGGAGCAAGCAGGGTTTTGGAAATGTTTCTGTATATAGACCACATCCATACCATTCAGCAGAATAATACATTTCAATTACCATCACGCCGAGCCTTTGTAGACTATGAATCAGAGGCGGATCTAGAAACTTCCCAGGGGGTAGGCGGTCCCGAAATAATGAAGTTATTTCAACAGGGCTCTGCATAATAATAAAAAAAACATCTCATTTACTTTCTATTGTAATAATCAATAAAAAATGCAATTTCCGGGGTCTCAAGAAGGGAGGCGCAGAGAGGGGTGCGATCACCCCCATGCTCCCCTCCTTAGATTCCCGAACACTATGAAAAAGCATTCGACTAGCAATTGATGCACTCATCTAAATACCACACATCTATGAGCAATATATATTTCGTGTCTGTACAACTTAATTAATTATCATTGCATTGAATTCCCTTTCTACAGTTGAGAGCCTATTAGCGCTCTCCTCCAAAGGAGACAGTGGTACATATACAGGTAGTCCCCGAGTTACGATGGTCCGACTTACGATATTTCGATCTTACGATGGCGATAGCGATACGACAAAATTGCCATCAACAACCTAACATCATTCAAGTATGCAGACGACGGACAGAATCTTGGCGAGTACAGTACAATATGATACGTTACGATACGTTCAATGCATGTACGATACGTAGCTTTAGCGATTTCATTTTAGGGTTACCACGATATGATACGTTCGATGCATGTTAAAAGTTTTTTATAGCAGATAGGATTGTTTCCTGAAAAAACTTTATATTAAATAGCAGTTCATATAGGTAGGCTAAGAATTTACCTTGTTTTTTCTACTTTACATTTTACTGTGCAATACAGTATTGTAATTAATAAATACATAAAGTATATAGTTTATACAGTACGGTACTGTTAATTGCTCTGTTTTGCTAAATTATCACCATTCTTTAAGACTCCTGGGTAGGCTAGGCCATCTTCGACTTACGATACTTTTGACTTACGATGGGGTCGTCGTAACGCATCTCCATCGTAAGTAGGGGACTACCTGGAAACATATATCATTTCAAATACATCATAGGATTTGGGCTTTGATGCAACAAAAAATGTTCCTCGTGAAAGGTCGGATATTGAACTTTACAAAATATATTAATAGGTAATAGGTGCAGCCCTAGAATCGCTTGGCCACAACACTGCTGGCAGAAGGGCCTCCATTATAGGAGCTCTGGAGGATATTTGGCCTACTCATTTACACTTGCCAGAAGTCTAGGGTGTCTTTCTGTTGAACGTCTTTCGCGCCGTGCGTAGCCAACCAATGCTGATCGGAGGTGTGTTACGAGTACCAACATTTTTACTTCCCCACAACGTGACCTGCCAACACTCGAACTGCTGGGTGCATAGACATAGGGAGATTTAAGAACCTTGTCCTCTGTTTCATCAGCTGTGTCAGGAGATCGAACTGGTGACCTTTGAATTTAAAAAGGCCCAGTTTTCTAACCGTCACACCATGGTGGCACACAAAACATGGTACGCTTTTAAAATTTCCAAACAAAATGATTAGACTTCTGTAGAAATCACACCGTCAACTTCACATTCACTCTCTCAGGGAGGAGCACCCAAATAAATTGGGCCTCCCAGCTAGATATATCTGCGACACATTTTTTGCCACCAATGTGTTGTCACAATCAATTATGTTCCAATGTATATGCACTACTGCAATTAACAACAGCACAATTTATTATTATTCACTTACCTCTTACCATATTAATTTAAAGTGTGATAAAAGTCCAACCAGAAGTGAATGTTGTTTTTCAAAGACACAAACAAAATGTACAAGTGAATAAATTTTTGTTATGGTACAGTTAAGACTTCAATAATGTTGCACATCTAAATGAGAATGTGAGGCTCGAGTACTGGTTGCATGTCCTACATTCCAGGATAAAGCGGCGTACTTACCCAGATGTTGCTTTAAAATATCAGACTCCCACTGAAGAAGAATGTCGAGATGCACACCAAGTACCGTTTTCTGCCAAATCCTCCTTCTGAAAAACACAGCAGAATAACCCGACATTATTTATATATTATGCAGCAGTAAACGCGCAAGTAAAAAAAGCACGTTTTAAGCACCTACGACTTTATCACGGTTGGTTACGTGCTGTGCGAAAGAAGCTCAACATACATACGGTCCAAAAATTAAACCTGCGTAGCACGAATTAACTGCTTAACAGAATTTTAATTCACAAAAAACTGTGAGGGTTAAAAAATGCTAAACCTTGCCCTCGCAATTGTAACAAAAGTCTGGGAAACACATACAGACTGTCTTGGAAGAATTCATAATATGTTGCATGGAGGACTATTTCAAAAATTTCCACTTGGCAGGCGAATTCGTACATTTGACCATCCAAAAATAAAATACTTGAACCATTTGTTTTCATTTCATACATAACCCCAGTACTGTGGTGGCATCAACAATATATAAAAAACTAAAATATGGATTATCTTTACAGCTAGTCATAGTACAAGCCTGTGATGATAAAAACAAAGTATGTACCTGAATTATATTATATTAATCTTATATTATTCATATTAATGTAAAGGGAAAAAAACAGATGCAAATAATATTTAGAATATGGTAGGCAATAGACACACAAAGTGATCATGCAGTAAATAACACTGCATTAAATATCAAAACGCTCTCAACATGCTCCTGCGGAAACTTTTATTTACTGGAAAGTGTCGTGAAAAATAAACGCCTCTTCTCGCGCTTTCGCCTCCACCGCCACACCACCACGCCGTGAAGCCCAGAGGGTGGGAGACTGGCCATGCGAACTCGTCAGGTGAGTGACAGCCAACACACGGCACACGCTCCACAACTCGCTAAACTCCAAACGCCGAGTCTTCTGTGCCGGCAACTTATGCGGAAGGAATGGGGCAGAGCTCTTAGCAAAAGTAGAGTCTCACATGTGTGTATGTCTGTGTGTGCGTCTGTGTGTGTATAATAATATGACTGTGCAATTATTTGTTTTCCAGAGCCACAAAAGCTCCATTCTGGAAGCCCATTGGAATTGTTGCATTCATCTGAGAGTGATGACGCTGGCTGGACAAAACACGCTGGCTTGACAATGCAGCACAATATGTGGCAGCTGATCAACGTAAACAAGCCAGCAGCCAGCACAGAATACCTGCCTTGTTTCAATTCAAGGGACTGCTATGTTGGCAAAAAATGTCACCTGTTTGTGGAGTAACTGCATTTGCAGTTGGCATGTTAAGGGGCAATTAGTGCATGCTGCGTGACATTTCTTTCATACTGGTAGGAACCTCCTGGTTACACCAGCCCACAGGGGATTATTGTGTCCGTCCGTCGTGCAGGGAGGGGCTGGGTGGGGAGGGGAGGGTGGGGAGGGGCTAGGTGGGGAGGGGTGGGGTTGGGTGGGGAGGGGCTGGTCACCCCGTGGTGCCCTTATAAAACTCAACGTTTAACCTACTCATGCCGGCTTGTGCCCGCCCTCACAGTCGGGCATATTTGCAGAATACACCACGCCGCCGTTGACCCTGGCCATTGACCGAGCAACCCAACGTTCGTACCAGCTCCCTCCGTTGGAATGTGTTAAATTGGTGCAGGGCACATTCATTTTTTTAATACATCACTGAACATCATCTCAATTATAGTCAGTGGTAGATAAAGCACATTTCTGTACTAGCATTGCTGGAAATGGTTTTAAATCACACAAAATCATAACGTACCATTAAAGAGCTTGGCAAAAAAACTTCTCCGTCACTACTTGTAAATGGTTAAATACATAACAGCGATGTTTGTAAGAGTGGCAGTGGAGGGACAGTACTAGATGGACTTCTCACACCGAAAGGCAAGGAGGTCGTAAATCATTCATGATTTCGGTTAACATGTGATCCCTATATGACACCAGTCATTTTCATACAGTAAATTGCTTATTCATTGGGTCTTTCAGTAAAGTCACGTAGAAAGAAAAAAAAATAACAAAAAAACTAAGACGTTTCGATCGCAACACAAGCAATCGTCATCCTGATCGCACCGTTTTGTGATCGAAACGTCGTAGTTTTTGTTAATTTATTTTTGTTCTACGTGACTTTACCGAAAAACCTAAAGAATATGAATTCCTGGAGTCACTGAAGCTTTAAGTCAAGAGTAAATTGCTTTAAACAGAATCTATTCTCATTTTTTGTAAATGGTTGGCACACTGGACTTGGGTCGTCGGTTTGACTTCCCGATGCGGCAGATGAATCAATAGGCAAGTTTCTTAAATCCTGGCAGTACGAATGGGTAATAATCGATGTCAATGGATTAATGTATGCATTGTTACCACCTCTATTTGGTTAGTCGAAACACAACAGAAGTGCTTCCTTAAACTACGTAAGTCAAGATCCCGTTTAGATTCGATTTAAACGTGTGCCGCCGTTTAATACGATACTCGGACTTTTGTTTTGGACACGGACCCTCCCAAGTGCCTGTAAATCATCTTTGTGGGTTGCTGCCTCCCAGTGAGAGGAAAGCCTTTGGAATGTGCCTACAGTCAATTAATGCAGTTTATTTCGGTGGGAACACCACGGACACCCCATTGCCACAGAAACACATAAACCCCAAGCTGAACACATGGTGTTTAAAAACATTAATTTATAAAGGCAAAATATTATGAAACGCCATGTGTGTGGCATAAGCCCGTCATTTATTTCAACTGCATGAATATATTACGATGCTACGTGGCCCAGGACCTGTTCAGACATCACTTGCCACTTGATGTTAGTCATGGTCGGGTGTCCAGGTTCATAGCGCATGACGCTATTATTTTTACTCAGTTCATACGGAATAACAATTGAGAAATATATCCAATGTTATGAGGGTTAGTTTACAGTAAAAGAAACATTTTAGGAACAGCAGGACAATATTTAATAAGAGGGGTTCATCGAACTAACCAAAAAGAAAAACGATGTTGGAACGACGGTAGTTGAAATCCTATACATCAGCTTGGTTGAAAATACAGTAGTTAAACGGTTGTAATGATCGCTTGCTTATTTTGAAAGAAGCAAACAGTATGGCTCTTGTAAACACGAAGCAAACAAAATAAACATTTAGCCCAACATTAAGTAAGAAAACATGCGATGGGCTTCCTTGTGCAGCATACACAGCTGGCAGGAGTAGCCCAGATAAGTGTAAACACCCTTCGCTAAATTTGGTACATAATGGCTATCGATAATTGTTATTTACAGACAGACATTCAGTCCCGGACAAAACCACTGGAACGGCAAACACCCGGGTGCCAGGGTCACTATGGGGAAACAAAAGAGGGCCTCAAAACAAGTCACAAACAGATACGTGAGCTTTATTGAAATACCATGAGTCAGTCTTGAGCCCTAAAAACAAGTACCGGTAACATCATGGGACCTCCTTTGCCAGTACCAAAATATACTAATAGGGTTTTTCCACCTTGCAAAAGGTGTCAGTTGTGTTGCCAGAAAAAAGGGGAAAACCCCTATTAGTAAGTACCGGTAAATGCCACCGAGACAGCTATAACCTTGTACCTTATGACGAAGACGACAGGAGAATATCACTGTGGTTTTTAGCACTTGTGACTAAACCAAGAAGTTCCGTGGAAGTGATTTCACTATCCGACTAAAAAAAACCATAGTTTATTCGAGTTTTCAATAAAAATTCTGGACCCAACATACCCAGCATGATGTGTTTGGGATACACGCTTTAGGCTCTTGAGTGACCTTTACAAGAAGTGCAACATCTTATTAAACTAAGGTATCAATGTCAACCTTCTGTGAACGAATGTAACTTGTTGCTTTGTGCCGATCTTCCATCTGATCACGGGAACAGTGAATATTTTAGGGCTGCATCCTCAACAAAAACAATTTTTTTTATTTTTTTATTTTACCAGGTAAGGCCCACTGATCTATACAGCTCTTTTTCATAAGTGATCTGGCCACAACAAAGTGGCTTATCACGTGGAAATTTAAAGCACCCAAATAATCTAATAGTTTAATACTCTCCCAGGTATTGTTGGCCATGAGTAGGCACACATTTAAATTACGTACGTATATGTTGAACTTCTTTCGCACCGTATGTAGCCAACCATGCTAATACATGCACACGAAGGGGTGGGTGGAAACGGTGCGAGCATCTTGTGTATACATATACTCAGTATGGAAGTGTAAGAGCAAACAGGGACAGCTCTGTGAATGGAAAGAACTGAAATAAAACGTTTAAAAAATCCCAAAGAGTCATGCAATTGTACTCTTAATCCAAAATGAATGGCTCTTACTCCAAGCATCCGCCTTTGCGTGTGAGGCTACCAGAAATGTCCCAGCATGCTCTGACGACAACCACAGCATACGACTGCCACTGGATAAAATGTCAACATGGGCTCTTAAATGTAGGCACAGTGTCAAATATATTGCCAGTACTTACACGTGTTGTGATGTATAGTAAATATGCGTGTTGTATGACCGGTACTTACACGTGTTGTGATGTATAGTAAATATGCTTGTTGTATGACCGGTATATCTATATATATAAAATCGTTCATGTCTGTCTGTCTGTGTGTGTGTGTGTGGACTTTGGCCCATACGCACTTTCATTGGACGGCGGTTGCCCCTGGCAACGGCTAGCCACGCCTTCGCCGCTTTCATTGGACCTGGCAACGGCTAGCCACGCCTTCGCCAAGGGCTGCAGTTTCATTGGACGGCAGTTGCCCCTGCCAACGGCTAGCCACGCCTTCGCCACTTTCATAAGCTCCGTATTTAATTAAATAATAGCCATTACACAGTATTGTTGGAGCGCTAGGGGGGGGGGGGGGGGAAGGAACGCCACCCGTACCCTGCCTCTTCCAAGCAGACAATTTTAGGCGAGGCCGCAGGCTTTGCACGCTACTAGGCCTCGACACCCACCACGCCACTCTGAGGTAAATTCATCAAAGTTTTTCCTACTCTTCACTACACCCCCACCACAATGTGTGCTATTAATATTACTTTTAAACCCAACGCGCCAACAATCGATTACTTT